AATATATATTTTGTAAAAGTAAGTTGTCTTTTTAAAAAATCTATTCTAAAATAATATGCTTTTTAATGGCTTATTCAGTCAGTTTATAGTTAATATAACTATCAATAGAGTCAATTTAACTCTTTCACCTTGAAAATTTTTTTCCTGTTTTTCCTATTTTGTTGTTATAGTTTTCTCAATATGTTATTATTTTTGCTTTAAACAGTCATTAGTCCTTTTAAAAATGTATGCATATGTAAAGTGAAGATTGCACAAAATAGACCTTTTGTGTTTACCAAGATACTTACCCTTTCTGATATTCTTTAATTCTTCCTTCAGTGGATCCTTCAGCTCCATCTGCTACAGTTTACCTTTTGCTAAAAGAGCTTATTTTAGCATACATTATAGTGTTAAAATTTATATATTTCAATTGCTCAAGATTTAATTTCAGCTGAAAAACATTAAGTCCTTTTAAGGAAAACTTCTGCATTTGGAATGCAAAGGGAGGGATAATGTGAGCTGCAACGTTTCTCTTCTACCTTCCCAGATGAAACCTCAGAAAGAAATAGTCCATTTTGCCACTACTCAGAACAATAAATGTTAGTTAATGATACTTCAGACACCAGGATAAATGCCCACCCCCCAGGCATGGAAGAATACCTCTGGCTTGTGGGAGAGCACCTAACCTGTGAGTGGCAAATGCATAAATGTCACAGGGGTCTCAGCTGGGCAGAAGACATATCAAAATGTGTCAGAGTTATGTCTGCCAAACTGTTGGTCTGTGCTCAGCAGAGACATTTAAATAAGAAATTAAAGGCTTCTTGGGAAATAATATACCTGGAAGGAAGAAGAAACTAGGCATGAACATCATTAACCAATAGGAAAGTTGGTTCCCTTATGACTCTGAGTCATGAAACTTTATCATGAGTACATGAAGGAAAATCTCTAAGGTAGTTCATAAGAAACTTTAAAGATGTGTGAATGTGATCACTATATTTAGGTACTAATAAAACAAGAAATGTTTGGATTACAGAAGCATAAAAATGGAAATCCTGAAGAAAAGAGTGTTATTGGTAAAATATTTCAATGGTAATATCCAGTATTGTGAAAGTCCATTTACAGACAACTTAATGGACAGATAAAACAGTACAATATTCCTGCATAGCAGAATGAAAATAGGTCACAGACCTTAAAACAGTCATACCTGGGACCTTCTAATTGGACTTAGAAGAATTTATATTAAAAACAAAAATCAGCTTTTTTGCAGTGGGTTTGCCGCCAGAACACAGGTGTCATGAAAACCACCACTAAATCAAAGCCAAAATGGGAAAGTAAAAGACTCATATTAACATCATCGTCATTAGACACATAGATTCGGGCAAGTCCACTACTACTGGCTATCTGATCTACAAATGTGGTGGGATCAACAAAAGAACCATCGAAAAGTTTGAGAAGGAGGCTTCTGAGATGGGAAAGAGCTCCTTCAAGTATGCCAAGGTCCTGGATAAACTGAAAGCTGAATGTGAGCATGGTATCACCATTGATATCTCCCTGTGGAAATTTGAGACCAGCAAGTATTACGTGACTATC